AATATACTGTCTGTCCGTTAGTACGTGTTAACTCTCTACGTGTTCAACACACATGGCTGGTAATATACTGTCTGTCCGTTAGTACGTGTTTACTCTCTACGTGTTCAACACACATGGCTGGTAATATACTGTCTGTCCGTTAGTACGTGTTAACTCTCTACGTGTTCAACACACATGGCTGGTAATATACTGTCTGTCCGTTAGTACGTGTTAACTCTCTACGTGTTCAACACACATGGCTGGTAATATACTGTCTGTCCGTTAGTACGTGTTAACTCTCTACGTGTTCAACACACTTGGCTGGTAATATACTGTCTGTCCGTTAGTACGTGTTTACTCTCTACGTGTTCAACACACTTGGCTGGTAATATACTGTCTGTCCGTTAGTACGTGTTTACTCTCTACGTGTTCAACACACATGGCTGGTAATATACTGTCTGTCCGTTAGTACGTGTTAACTCTCTACGTGTTCAACACACATGGCTGGTAATATACTGTCTGTCCGTTAGTACGTGTTTACTCTCTACGTGTTCAACACACATGGCTGGTAATATACTGTCTGTCCGTTAGTACGTGTTAACTCTCTACGTGTTCAACACACATGGCTGGTAATATACTGTCTGTCCGTTAGTACGTGTTTACTCTCTACGTGTTCAACACACATGGCTGGTAATATACTGTCTGTCCGTTAGTACGTGTTAACTCTCTACGTGTTCAACACACATGGCTGGTAATATACTGTCTGTCCGTTAGTACGTGTTTACTCTCTACGTGTTCAACACACATGGCTGGTAATATACTGTCTGTCCGTTAGTACGTGTTAACTCTCTACGTGTTCAACACACATGGCTGGTAATATACTGTCTGTCCGTTAGTACGTGTTAACTCTCTACGTGTTCAACACACATGGCTGGTAATATACTGTCTGTCCGTTAGTACGTGTTTACTCTCTACGTGTTCAACACACATGGCTGGTAATATACTGTCTGTCCGTTAGTACGTGTTAACTCTCTACGTGTTCAACACACATGGCTGGTAATATACTGTCTGTCCGTTAGTACGTGTTAACTCTCTACGTGTTCAACACACATGGCTGGTAATATACTGTCTGTCCGTTAGTACGTGTTAACTCTCTACGTGTTCAACACACATGGCTGGTAATATACTGTCTGTCCGTTAGTACGTGTTTACTCTCTACGTGTTCAACACACATGGCTGGTAATATACTGTCTGTCCGTTAGTACGTGTTAACTCTCTACGTGTTCAACACACATGGCTGGTAATATACTGTCTGTCCGTTAGTACGTGTTAACTCTCTACGTGTTCAACACACATGGCTGGTAATATACTGTCTGTCCGTTAGTACGTGTTAACTCTCTACGTGTTCAACACACATGGCTGGTAATATACTGTCTGTCCGTTAGTACGTGTTAACTCTCTACGTGTTCAACACACATGGCTGGTAATATACTGTCTGTCCGTTAGTACGTGTTTCTCTACGTGTTCAACACACATGGCTGGTAATATACTGTCTGTCCGTTAGTACGTGTTAACTCTCTACGTGTTCAACACACATGGCTGGTAATATACTGTCTGTCCGTTAGTACGTGTTACTCTCTACGTGTTCAACACACATGGCTGGTAATATACTGTCTGTCCGTTAGTACGTGTTAACTCTCTACGTGTTCAACACACATGGCTGGTAATATACTGTCTGTCCGTTAGTACGTGTTAACTCTCTACGTGTTCAACACACATGGCTGGTAATATACTGTCTGTCCGTTAGTACGTGTTAACTCTCTACGTGTTCAACACACATGGCTGGTAATATACTGTCTGTCCGTTAGTACGTGTTTACTCTCTACGTGTTCAACACACATGGCTGGTAATATACTGTCTGTCCGTTAGTACGTGTTAACTCTCTACGTGTTCAACACACATGGCTGGTAATATACTGTCTGTCCGTTAGTACGTGTTAACTCTCTACGTGTTCAACACACATGGCTGGTAATATACTGTCTGTCCGTTAGTACGTGTTTACTCTCTACGTGTTCAACACACATGGCTGGTAATATACTGTCTGTCCGTTAGTACGTGTTAACTCTCTACGTGTTCAACACACATGGCTGGTAATATACTGTCTGTCCGTTAGTACGTGTTAACTCTCTACGTGTTCAACACACATGGCTGGTAATATACTGTCTGTCCGTTAGTACGTGTTTACTCTCTACGTGTTCAACACACTTGGCTGGTAATATACTGTCTGTCCGTTAGTACGTGTTAACTCTCTACGTGTTCAACACACATGGCTGGTAATATACTGTCTGTCCGTTAGTACGTGTTAACTCTCTACGTGTTCAACACACATGGCTGGTAATATACTGTCTGTCCGTTAGTACGTGTTTACTCTCTACGTGTTCAACACACATGGCTGGTAATATACTGTCTGTCCGTTAGTACGTGTTTACTCTCTACGTGTTCAACACACTTGGCTGGTAATATACTGTCTGTCCGTTAGTACGTGTTAACTCTCTACGTGTTCAACACACATGGCTGGTAATATACTGTCTGTCCGTTAGTACGTGTTAACTCTCTACGTGTTCAACACACATGGCTGGTAATATACTGTCTGTCCGTTAGTACGTGTTTACTCTCTACGTGTTCAACACACTTGGCTGGTAATATACTGTCTGTCCGTTAGTACGTGTTAACTCTCTACGTGTTCAACACACATGGCTGGTAATATACTGTCTGTCCGTTAGTACGTGTTTACTCTCTACGTGTTCAACACACTTGGCTGGTAATATACTGTCTGTCCGTTAGTACGTGTTAACTCTCTACGTGTTCAACACACATGGCTGGTAATATACTGTCTGTCCGTTAGTACGTGTTTACTCTCTACGTGTTCAACACACATGGCTGGTAATATACTGTCTGTCCGTTAGTACGTGTTTACTCTCTACGTGTTCAACACACATGGCTGGTAATATACTGTCTGTCCGTTAGTACGTGTTTACTCTCTACGTGTTCAACACACACTCTCTACGTGTTCAACACACATGGCTGGTAATATACTGTCTGTCCGTTAGTACGTGTTTACTCTCTACGTGTTCAACACACATGGCTGGTAATATACTGTCTGTCCGTTAGTACGTGTTTACTCTCTACGTGTTCAACACACATGGCTGGTAATATACTGTCTGTCCGTTAGTACGTGTTTACTCTCTACGTGTTCAACACACTTGGCTGGTAATATACTGTCTGTCCGTTAGTACGTGTTAACTCTCTACGTGTTCAACACACATGGCTGGTAATATTGTTTCCAGTTTGGACTGTAACATTTGTTAATGATACGGGTCTATAATTAAACGGTCGCTTCCTTGCTGCTCCTGTTGAAGATCGGAACAATGTTATCTTTATTACACGATAACAACCTGTACTGTCCACACAGACCACCATGATAACAACCAGTACTGTCCCCACAGATCACCATGATAACTACCAGTACTGTCCCCACAGACCACCATGATAACTACCAGTTCTGTCCCCACAGATCACCATGATAACTACCAGTTCTGTCCCCACAGATCACCATGATAACTACCAGTACTGTCCCCACAGACCACCATGATAACTACCAGTTCTGTCCCCACAGATCACCATGATAACTACCAGTTCTGTCCCCACAGATCACCATGATAACTACCAGTACTGTCCCCACAAATCACCATGATAACTACCAGTTCTGTCCCCACAGATCACCATGATAACTACCAGTACTGTCCCCACAGATCACCATGATAACTACCAGTTCTGTCCCCACAGATCACCATGATAACTACCAGTTCTGTCCCCACAGATCACCATGATAACGACCACCCCCCCCACAGATCACCATGATAACGACCCCCCCCCACAGATCACCATGATAACGACCACCCCCCCACAGATCACCATGATAACTACCAATACTGTCCCCACAGATCACCATGATAACGACCCCCCCCCCCACAGATCACCATGATAACGACCACCCCCCCCCACAGATCACCATGATAACGACCACCCCCCCACAGATCACCATGATAACTACCAATACTGTCCCCACAGATCACCATGATAACGACCCCCCCCCACAGATCACCATGATAACGACCACCCCCCCCCACAGATCACCATGATAACGACCACCCCCCCACAGATCACCATGATAACTACCAATACTGTCCCCACAGATCACCATGATAACAACCTGTACTGTCCCCACAGATCACCATGATAACGACCCCCCCCACAGATCTCCATGATAACGACCACCCGCCCCCACAGATCACCATGATAACGACCACCCCCCCCCCACAGATCACCATGATAACGACCACCCCCCCCCCACAGATCACCATGATAACGACCACCACCCCCCCACAGATCACCATAATAACGACCACCACTCCCCCCCACAGATCACCATGATAACGACCACCACCCCCCCATAGATCACCATGATAACGACCCCCCCACAGATCACCATGATAACGACCACCACTCCCCCCCACAGATCACCATGATAACGACCACCCCCCCACAGATCACTATGATAACGACCCCCCCCCCCACAGATCACCATGATAACGACCACCCCCCCACAGATCACCATGATATCGACCCCCCCACAGATCACCATGATAACGACCCCCCCCCCACAGATCACCATGATAACGACCACCCCCCCCACAGATCACCATGATATCGACCACCCCCCCCACATATCACCATGATAACGACCACCACTCCCCCCCACAGATCACCATGATAACGACCACACCCCCCCACAGATCACCATGATAACGACCACCACTCCCCCCCACAGATCACCATGATAACGACCACCCCCCCACAGATCACCATGATAACGATCACCCCCCCACAGATCACCATGATAACGACCACCACTCCCCCCCACAGATCACCATGATAACGACCACCCCCCCCCCCCACAGATCACCATGTCGTACCTGGAGATCTACAATGAGAACATCCGGGACCTGCTCCAGCCCAGTGGGACTCTTGAACTCCGCGAGGACGCTAAGACCGGAGTCATCCAGGTGGCCGGACTCTCGGAGAAGGCCGTAGTCTCTACCAAGGAGGTGAGTCCTCATAGTCTACCAGGGAGGTGAGGCCTCACACTCTACCAGGGTGGTGAGTCCTCATACTCTACCAGGGAGGTGAGTCCTCATAGTCTACCAGGGAGGTGAGTCCTCACACTCTACCAGGGAGGTGAGTCCTCACACTTTACCAGGGAGGTGAGTCCTCATAGTCTACCAGGGAGGTGAGTCCTCACACTACCAGGGAGGTGAGTCCTCATAGTCTACCAGGGAGGTGAGTCCTCATAGTCTACCAGGGAAGTGAGTCCTCATAGTCTACCAGGGAGGTGAGTCCTCACACTCTACCAGGGAGGTGAGTCCTCACACTCTCCCAGGGAAGTGAGTCCTCATAGTCTACCAGGGAGGTGAGTCCTCATAGTCTACCAGGGAGGTGAGTCCTCACACTCTACCATGAGTCCTCATAGTCTACCAGGGAGGTGAGTCCTCACACTCTACCAGGGAGGTGAGTCCTCACACTACCAGGGAGGTGAGTCCTCATAGTCTACCAGGGAGGTGAGTCCTCATAGTCTACCAGGGAGGTGAGTCCTCACACTCTACCAGGGAGGTGAGTCCTCACACTCTACCAGGGAGGTGAGTCCTCATAGTCTACCAGGGAGGTGAGTCCTCATAGTCTACCAGGGAGGTGAGTCCTCACACTACCAGGGAGGTGAGTCCTCATAGTCTACCAGGGAGGTGAGTCCTCACACTACCAGGGAGGTGAGTCCTCACTCTACCAGGGAGGTGAGTCCTCACACTACCAGGGAGGTGAGTCCTCACACTCTACCAGGGAGGTGAGTCCTCACACTCTACCAGGGAGGTGAGTCCTCACACTACCAGGGAGGTGAGTCCTCACACTCTACCAGGGAGGTGAGTCCTCACACTCTACCAGGGAGGTGAGTCCTCATAGTCTCTCAGGGAGGTGAGTCCTCATACTCTACCAGGGAGGTGAGTCCTCACACTACCAGGGAGGTGAGTCCTCATAGTCTACCAGGGAGGTGAGTCCTCACACTACCAGGGAGGTGAGTCCTCATAGTCTACCAGGGAGGTGAGTCCTCACACTACCAGGGAGGTGAGTCCTCACACTACCAGGGAGGTGAGTCCTCATAGTCTACCAGGGAGGTGAGTCCTCACACTCTACCAGGGAGGTGAGTCCTCATAGTCTCCCAGGGAGGTGAGTCCTCATAGTCTACCAGGGAGGTGAGTCCTCATACTCTCCCAGGGAGGTGAGTCCTCATACTCTACCAGGGAGGTGAGTCCTCATACTCTCCCAGGGAGGTGAGTCCTCATAGTCTACCAGGGAGGTGAGTCCTCATACTCTCCCAGGGAGGTGAGTCCTCACACTCTACCATGAGTCCTCATAGTCTACCAGGGAGGTGAGTCCTCACACTCTACCATGAGTCCTCATAGTCTACCAGGGAGGTGAGTCCTCACACTCTACCAGGGAGGTGAGTCCTCATACTCTACCAGGGAGGTGAGTCCTCATACTCTCCCAGGGAGGTGAGTCCTCACACTCTACCATGAGTCCTCATAGTCTACCAGGGAGGTGAGTCCTCACACTCTACCATGAGTCCTCATAGTCTACCAGGGAGGTGAGTCCTCACACTCTACCAGGGAGGTGAGTCCTCATAGTCTACCAGGGAGGTGAGTCCTTACACTCTACCAGGGAGGTGAGTCCTGATAGTCTACCAGGGAGGTGAGTCCTCATAGTCTACCAGGGAGGTGAGTCCTCATAGTCTACCAGGGAGGTGAGTCCTCACAGTCTACCAGGGAGGTGAGTCCTCATAGTCTACCAGGGAGGTGAGTCCTCATAGTCTACCAGGGAAGTGAGTCCTCATAGTCTACCAGGGAGGTGAGTCCTCATAGTCTACCAGGGAAGTGAGTCCTCATAGTCTACCAGGGAAGTGAGTCCTCATAGTCTACCAGGGAGGTGAGTCCTCATAGTCTACCAGGGAAGTGAGTCCTCATAGTCTACCAGGGAGGTGAGTCTTCATAGTCTACCAGGGAGGTGAGTCCTCATAGTCTACCAGGGAGGTGAGTCCTCATAGTCTACCAGGGAGGTGAGTCCTCATAGTCTACCAGGGAGGTGAGTCCTCATAGTCTACCAGGGAGGTGAGTCCTCATAGTCTACCAGGGTGGTGAGTCCTCATACTCTACCAGGGAGGTGAGTCCTCACACTCTACCAGGGAGGTGAGTCCTCACACTACCTGGGAGGTGAGTCCTCATAGTCTACCAGGGAGGTGAGTCCTCATACTCTACCAGGGAGGTGAGTCGTCATAGTCTCCCAGGGAGGTGAGTCCTCATACTCCCAGGGAGGTGAGTCCTCACACTCTCTCAGGGAGGAGAGTCCTCACACTCTCCAGCCAATCATGTCACTTCCAACATGCAATATATGATTACTTATCATAATTTACAGAGACACATTGTCAGGGTTATATAATATAAACCTATACATAGCTCACATATCTCTCCTGTATAACTTAAACATGCGTTATATCACAAAGCTCTACGATGTTTTTCGCAGATTTTGTCATATGTTGATAAGCTTTCCTGAATCACGTGTTTTTGTGATTATTCATACATAGCTCCTGATATACATAGCTACACACAACTTTATGTATTCATAAATACATGTGTAAATAACTTCAGGTACATATAGTTAGAGATACACATGACTAAAGGTATATAGTTAAAAACACACACAAATTCAGGTACATATATATAGTTAAAAACACACATAACTAAAAGTACATATAGTTAACGATACACAGAACTAAAGATACATATAGTTAACGATACACAGAACTAAAGATACATACAGTTAACGATACACAGAACTAAAGATACATATAGTTAACGATACACAGAACTAAAGATACATATAGTTAACGATACACAGAACTAAAGATACATATAGTTAACGATACACAGAACTAAAGATACATATAGTTAACGATACACAGAACTAAAGATACATATAGTTAACGATACACAGAACTAAAGATACATATAGTTAACGATACACAGAACTAAAGATACATATAGTTAACGATACACAGAACTAAAGATACATATAGTTAAAGACACACGACTACTGATAGACATTAGTTTAGTCCCCGTGTCGCAGTGGTAAAGCACTCACCCGACGCTTCGAAAGGACTTTTGCCTGGGTTCGTATCCTGGCCGGGGGAAGATTGACTAGGCACCAGTCCTTAACTGTAGCCTCTGTTCAACCAACAGTAAAATGTATACCTGATTGTTAAACGACTTGGCGGGTCGTAGTTCGGGGGGAAATGATGGTGATTAAGGATCTGCCAGGAACACGATGTGTTCTAGTGGCTTAACAGGAATATAACAACTCTATATATTATATATAATTAAAAAAAAGTATATATAGTGCTATATATAACAAATATATATATATGAACTATCAGAGCAGTTACCAACCATATAAGTTTAACTGAGATATAACAGCGGAGATGTTGGTTAGCTTTAGACTGTGCAGAACTACCTGTGCACAGAACTACCGGTGCACAGATTACCTGTACACTGAACTACCTGTGCACTGAACTACCTGTACACTGAAATACCTGTGCACTGAACTACCTGTACACTGAACTATCGGTGCACTGAACTAGTTGTACACTGAACTACCTGTACACTGAACTATCTGTACACTGAACTATCGGTGCACTGAACTATCGGTGCACTGAACTACCTGTGCACTGAACTACCTGTGCACTGAACTACCTGTGCACTGAACTACTTGTGCACTGAAGTACCTGTACACTGAAGTACCTGTACACTGAACTACCTGTACACTGAACTACCTGTGCACTGAACTATCGGTGCACTGAACTACCTGTGCACTGAACTACTTGTGCACTGAAGTACCTGTACACTGAAGTACCTGTACACTGAACTACCTGTACACTGAACTACCTGTGCAATGAACTACTTGTGCACTGAACTACCTGTACACTGAACTACCGGTGCACTGAACTACCTGTACACTGAACTACCGGTGCACTGAACTACCTGTACACTGAACTATCGGTGCACTGAACTATCAGTGCACTGAACTACCTGTGCACTGAACTACCTGTACACTGAACTATCGGTGCACTGAACTACCTGTGCAATGAACTACCTGTGCAATGAACTACTTGTGCACTGAAGTACCTGTACACTGAACTACCTGTGCAATGAACTACTTGTGCACTGAAGTACCTGTACACTGAAGTACCTGTACACTGAACTACCTGTACACAGAAGTACCTGTACACTGAACTACCTGTACACTGAACTACCTGCACACTGAACTACCTGTACACTGAACTACCTGTACACTGAACTACTTGTGCACTGAACTACCTGTGCACTGAACTACCTGTATACTGAACTACCTGTACACTGAACTACTTGTGCACTGAATTACCGGTGCACAGAACTACCTGTGCACTGAACTACCTGTACACTAAACTACCTGTACACTGAACTACCTGTACACTGAACTACCTGTACACTGAACTACCTGTACACTGAACTACTTGTGCACTGAATTACCGGTGCACAGAACTACCTGTGCACTGAACTACCTGTGTACAGAACTACTGGTGCACAGAACTACCTGTGCACTGAACTACCTGTGCACTGAACTACCTGTGCACTGAACTACCTGTGGACTGAACTACCCTGCGAACTAAACTACCGGTGAACTCAACTACCGGTGCACTTAACTACTGGTGCACAGAACTACTGGTGCACAGAACTACTGGTGCACAGAACTATCAGTGCACAGAACTACCGGTGCACAGAACTACCGGTGCACTTAACTATCGGTGCACAGAACTACTGGTGCACTTAACTACCGTTGCACAGAACTACTGGTGCACAGAACTACTGGTGCACAGAACTAACGTTGCTCAGAACTACCGGTGCACAGAACTACCGGTGCACAGAACTAATGGTGCTCAGAACTACTGGTGAACTGAACTACCGGTGCA